AAGAAAACACAACTCTTCACCATTACAAAGATCAATTGGTTGACGATGTTTAAGGAAATAATCGCTGTTTATCGTGAGAATCATTCGAAACCGATAATGTTAATAATTGTTAAATAAAATGGTACATATATTTACCCACGAGTTTTAAAGTCTTAGATAACGTATGAACAATCCCATCATTTTTGATGGCAAAATTTTGTTGCAATTAATTCTACAAGCACGCCAGACATGTTTTTACTATGTAAAACCATCTTCAGTTTATTTTAAAATTTACAGATTGTTCAAAAATATCCAGAGTCCGTGTTTCGTGGGCATCTGATTTAAAAAAAAGGATTGTGGCCAACGAGATCTCTAGGCTTCAGACCACACGAATTATTTTTATGGAGATATTTTAAGTCGATGTGTATTCAGGTCAATGAAAAGGCTACAGGCCAGCATTCGGAGTAGACGACATATTAAATGAGATATTAAAATAAGTTAATTAAAAACGATTAATCGTGTGCGCGTATGCGTAATTCATAATAGCCGACATATTTAACACTCGTTCCAATTACTAATAAGAATGTGTTGCGATTCTTTGTGAACATTCTGTATTATTATTGATCTGAGTGACATCTGACGTGAATTTAATATTACTACAATGTAAATGCGTCACTGTGAACGCTGGGCGTTCAAAAGAGAGCAAAACAATACGGACATTTCCACGTAACTTCATTCAATAAGATTAGAAGAACGAAACAGGTGTTAGTGGCGTAGCGGATAATGTGTGTTTGTTTCGCCGTTGCGGAGCGGCAACTTCTCCGACATGCATGCGATGCGTGTACTCTAACTACAGGCTCCACACAAATTTTAGAGTGTTTACATATTCGTAAATGTACTTATGTCTTCTTGAGGACAGAGAATTCGGTTTTTAATGCAACGTAGAAAAACTTTGGACGTAGGTAAATCTCAAAAATAACTTCTGATTCTCATGTTTAACGACACTCATTCTGTCACTGTGATTTGGTGAAAGATAAAGGGGCAATGAATCATATTTTAGAAACATTAACTGCGATTGAACATGGAATATTTTAAATACAGGTTATCGCACTAACCACTAGACCACTTACTTATTTTCCTGGTACTCAAAAGTTGCAGGTTTCAACAACAACCCACTAATATCGAAATAAAAACTTAAAAAACGTCACTTTAATGACAATTATCTGACAGGAATAAAGCCAATTCCCGAAACGTCGAGTACAAGTCACTGACATACACTTGCCAACAAAACGTCCCGGAATAACTCTGTATGTCAAAATAAATTGTGGTTGCATAATAAACTGAATACCGCCTTGGTGGTCTAGTGGTCAGAACGCTGGCCTTGTAATCCTGGGGGTCTCGGGTTCGATTCCCGGCGGTGCCCGAATTAATAACTTGTGTTGGGCAAGGCCGTGGTCTAGGCAACACGGAGTTTTCCTCCGTGGCATCCCAACAATTACTCCATTCACACACAGAAGAAGGCAATGGCAAACCACTTCTGGATCATCTGCCAAGAACGTATATGAACAGGTCCCAGTCCGAGAAGAGAAAAGGATGGAAGGATCCTGTTCATATGGACCTGTCGTCAGACAGAACACTAATAATAATAATAATAAAATAAACTGAATAAGTGGATACATAAGGTACAAAACGAAAACCAATCCTACGAAAAACCTTTTTGTTTGCCAACAAATCAGAGAGCGTAATTAGATAAAGATTACGTCACTCGTCGCATAACCTACCAATTACTGACCAAATTGCGAAAGAGGGAGCTTCAATCTCTGACCTGCCCCACCTCGAGCCGCCAAAATAATCGAAAGAAATCTACGACGGAGAAAATAATTGTTGGGGGCCACGGCTGTGGGGGTGCCGAGCTGCGGACAGGGCAGCACGATTGATCCACGTTGCTATGGTTACGGGAGGCTGTATGACGTCAGCATATCTACAGCGTGTTCCTCTGAGATGTGCCTGTTGTAAAGCGTGCCAGTCTAAACATTGCTGCATATTTCGAAGTGTAATTATAAATGGATTATTCTCCTTTAAGCGCACGAGCTTAAATAATTCCAAAACGGCGTTCGTTTATTCGTATCGGACCTGAATACGAAAATTTAAACCTTTTAAGCCTGAGGAGCCTATAAATAATATTTAGTAATTCAGTCCGTACCGCAAAGAAAACACAACACTTCACCATTACAAAGATCAACTGGTTAACCCTTTGAAGCCTAAGCTTATCTAAATGATATTTTCGAATTCAGTCCGTACCGCGAAGAAAACACAACTCTTCACCATTACGAAGATCAACTGGTTAACGCTGTTTAAGAATATAATCGCTGTTTACACTGAAAATCATGCGAAACATAAATACAAAATGAAGACTTACTGCAGGTGGTACGTATTGTTACCACTGTAATTTAAAGGGTTAAAGGGAATAATAAACATACATTTATACATAATTATTTGTTATTACAAAGCTACATCTTTGTCCGATTCGACTCAGACCACAAACGACAGTATTATAAGCACCGATTAACACTTTTACTGATAATCCGTATGGAAATCATTCTGATAAATGCATCGCCTTATAACATTTTCAGCTTCTTACGATTAAAACTTTCAAAATGATCGCAGTGCGCACTGTTTAAGTGGGAGATTCACTAGAGGGACACTGAAAGTGAGTTATGAACTTTCGTGCTGAGATACAAACTTCTGAAAAATTGTGAGTAAAAATGGAAAAAAAAAAAAAAAAATCTTAGCAGCTGTACGAATAATTTTGAGAGGGTGGTAAATGTCACGTCAAAAGAACGTGACCGCTGGATTTCTTATGATGACACCTGAAGAAATGTACAAGCATTAGCAGTGTGAAAAATCTGAAAATTCCAAAGGACCGTGCTTTTAGTTCTAATTTCCTTGTTTCCACTTTTCTTCCTCAGTTTCTTTGTACGTAATTCTTATCTGTACATTTTCCGCCAGGTCTCGCCCCATTCAGTGGGCAGATCAAAGAGGAAAATGGAGCAGTGCAATTCTGTGGCCGTGACGTCATCGATCTAGCGGTCTATTCAACGTTTAAGGACCCTCAAAGGCAAGAAAAGGTAAGATAAGACTGAGTTATGGATGTACTTGTAGCGTGTACAGTATTTATTGCTGGTGAAGTAAAATTCGGGTGGAGTGGGGCGAAAGTGACGTTTCTCGCTTTTGTACACTCGTCAACGGCGATGCAACATTTAACCATTAATATAAAACTAGCGTCAAAGTTGACGGGAATGAACCACTATCGTTGTGAATGGAACTGAAAATACTAGATTTATAAAATTTGTTTACAAAGTAAATTTAAACGTGAAACAATCTCCTCGGCGACAAAATCCAGATTCTTCCCAGGCGCACAAATACGAAACCGACCCGCCTGACCTTTTCCCTCATGACACAAATGGAGCCCTCGTACAGTCAAGTGAGACGGAGAATGGCTATTGCATTAGGAGTATTGATCGATGGATCGATCGATCGATAGTCAGAAAGAAGATACACGCTGTACACTCAAAGGACAATTTTATTTCTGATCGTGGAAAGAGTTTATTGAAAATCTGCTGTCATGGAATAATGGAACACTGACGAACTGGAACTGACATGAGCTTGGGGGAAAGCGAAGTTTTTCCATACACAGATCAATTTAGTCAGATTTGCGTACAAGTGCGTGATGCAGAACCCTAAAAAGTCTTTACGTTTGAGGTTTCCACTGCGATCGAAAAGTCGGAAGTTATTCT